CGTGATTTCCAGCGGGTCGAGGATGAGGAAGCATAACGGCAGTGAGATATTACATGGTCTCGTCGTTGTGAGAGGCGCAATGACGATAGAGAAGCGCTGAGACACGGCAATTGGTACGGGCGATTCAACAAGACACTGTCTGTCAGCTCTTGAAAAACACGGCGGGTGAGCATAAGGAGCGCGATTCAGAAATAGTTCTTAACCTCAAAAGGTTCAAGACTCAAGATGAACGTTGGGTTCTCCGTTCTCAGATATACGCAGTTCGGTTCTAGAACTATCCTAAGCCCAAGCTTGACTCGACCAAGCCGGTTCTGATAAACTGTCCATCTGCAATCACATACATCATGCATATCTAGTAACAATGGCCATAGTGGAGTGAATGCTAGCTTTCTATACCTGCCTGGTCTGGACTGAGCGTCATCGGACTTGCCAACGGAAACACTAATATTCATCATTTCAAAGCTCTTTGAGGCATATCTACTCTGGATTCAACACTTGCAACTTGCGGGTAATGTTGATGAAATTCTTAAAGAGTCATTTCTCAATGCCATAAAGGACTCGAACTCACGGAGATTGCCATTGAACTGGCACCGGCTGAGTTCAAGCAAGAAGTTACCACCAAGATTCTCGGAAGCGGAAGGGCATTTGATTGCTGAACTCAACGTGCGAACAAAGATATATCGACAACCATTACCATTCGACTGAGTTTCGAGGCAATAGATTTAATCGCAAAACCTTCCTGGGAGACCGAGCATGACCGAGCGAGTCAACTTGAAGATGATCTGGTTTAAAATATAGAACGGGCGGCCAAAAGGCAACAACCTCATCCAGACACATTGGCCGTTTACTGACATCATGAGATTCGATAAATTAGACCAGAAACCTTGTAAGAGCACCGATGATCATCTTTGGTTTGCGGACTTCGCTGATATCAACCTCTCTGCATGCTCCAAATTTTGTACATGCTCGCCTTTAAAGCTCCTCAGCTCGATGTCTTCATTGCGTTGCGGTCGCAACGATGGCTGTCTTCGATTTGCACTACTCATTATGCACATGGTTTGAACAACGTTATTTTGCAGAGAAATACCATGGTTGACCGACGTCGAAGTGCAACCTTGTTCTCATTCTACCCCGACCATGCGCCAAAGCACTCATCGTGGGTGGTGCCGCCCAATTCTAAACGGTTTATTGAGACGTTACCAACGCTGAAGGATGTTCTGGAGAGACCTGAATTGAGGAAGAGCTTTGCACGGTATATCAGAAGTGCATTCTTACATATGATTGATTCTCTCTCGCAGGGCAGGTGGCAAGGACAGAGCGTATATAGCTCTTCAGTCTACAGATCTGCCCTTATCGCTTCATCACATTCCAGCATGGGAGTACAGGTAAGTTTATCTTGTCCCTATATCATCAGCGCCGTGGCCATGAGCAAGATTTCCAACGATATTGCGGATATCTATGGCCGAACAGTTGTTCGATCCACTAGTACTACTACTAACATACAACGTATAGTTCGTGATATTGAATCGTCACTTCAACTTTCAGTCACGCAAGCACACTTCGCAAAACTCTTAACTTCGCGGTGACTGGTTTTTCCAATTGAGGAGAAAGGCCTGAATCTGGCAGCAAAACATGGATGATACCTTCCTGACACGTCCAAAAGGCAAGAGCTCAATGCTCGACCTGAGCTTACATAGGTTTTCTAAAGGGGACCTGACAAATACCGCACTTCAATTATCTCACCCGCTTGATACTCGTCAGCTACCTGATGCCGGACCACGGTGAGTTCCAAGCTCGAACACCTCACGGACAAAAGACTGATGCTGCTTCCAGACCAGAGATCGCGCCTCCTAGATCTGTATGTACGTGGATAAATGACACACCAGTACATCATACCCCAGTCACCATGGTGGCCAAACCCACGAGCTCTTCGAGCTATCTATTGACGGAACGCCCTAGTCCTGGACTCAGCCGTGATGCATTGCTGAACAGGCAACAGCGCTATGAGGTATGGGCGCAACAGATCGGACGAGAAGTGGAGGCCGTCGAGAAAGCCAAGGAGGAGCGGGCCTTGAGAAAATCACTTATCGAATTCAAAATGACAAAGGCGGAAAAACGACAGTCGATGAGAGTGCTGCAAGAGGCAGAGCGAATCCTCAAAGAGGACCAGGAGAAGAGAGAAATGGAGAGCTCCCTGGAGGACTTTGAAATGGCCATGACGGCCAGACGCCAGCAACAAAAGATCTATGAGCAGAGGGCCCTATACTTTGCAGAGGTCATTGCGAGGATGGATGCGAATTGCCCCTTGCTGCAGGATGAGAAGTATCGTGAATACCTGTATGTGCTCTGTGACTCCGATGATATGGTTGTACACGAGAGGAAGCGACTGGAGAAGACCAAGAGGGATATCTTGAACGATTGGTATGCGTTGCAGTCCATCTTCACTGAGATATACAATCACGAGCAGAGCAGTGAAGAAGACGAGCTCGAGGATGTTGAGGTACTCACGTTCAGACGTGGAGCGAAACCATTGAGTGTGTCTGTGAAAGAGGTTTCGGCGCAATTGCAGATGGATCCCGAGTCGGAAGAGGGCGATTGATATTGAGATGGTGGGAGGGATGGTGTTTGGATTCCGTCTTATTTGTTCTGTTTCTCGTTAACCTACTCGTATCTTCTGACATAATATCAGTCTCCCCTTCTATGAGACAGGATCTGAACAGTGTTTATCCAGCTCTGGGGCGATTCAACCTGTTCATGCTCATTGGTCAAGGCATGGTTTGTAATGACAGTTCCACAGTAGTGAAAGACAAGAGCTTGGATTGCTGGATAGTATTTCGCACTGGCACAGTGGCTTCAGTAATTCCGTGTCTCTCCGCCTCCAGAAAAGCGCGATTGGTTTTGAGACTATGGTAACTTTTAAATTAAAGCCAATACTGATAGTTTTCTGGAGACCTCGAAGAGTATTCTGACTAGGAACTGTTCCGTCTTCGTCTTGAGATGAAGATGAGAACTATGGTTGAGAAGTTTCTGGAGGGACATAGAATTAGTTGAAGCCGCTGTGCTGGCTCACGATCCACCAAAAGATCACAGCTCCATGTCTCACTCTCCGCAGGCTCGCTAGACTATTGACAGCCTCAGTGACAGGTATAGTCTAGATATATGCAGACTCTAGCACGTGCCAAGCTGTCAATTCTCTGCCTTGACTCCACCACAGAGTGGCTTCACCTAGGTCAAGACCGACCAACGTAATGTGGCCTCCCCGCGTGGCACACGCCAAACTATCAAGCAAATTAGTACCGTAGGAAATGAGTAAAACCTCGAATGATATCTTACCACGAATTCACAGGATCTTAGTCTTCCACAATGGACATTGCAATTGTGGCTGTTCGCCCGTTGAATGTTCCCAATTAGCGCCGGTATGTCGGTTTTCGGTTTTCTTATGCATCCGTGCCGCTGAACAAGTAATCGCATACGAGGTTCCAGAGATAGAGCCCGGCGTTGTAATCTCTTCAGGTTCTCCGCACGTGCCGCCACACTCGCCTCCATTGCCGTCTTCCTTGGCCCAAGTCTCCCACGCGTCCTTGTTTTTGGTCATGTCGGCCTTGTGGGCATCTGTGGAGTTGGAATCTGTGGGTTTGAGGTATTGGTTTCGTAGAACTTGCTGAAGAAGGCAAGGTCGTGCTGCATTTTCCTAGGTCGCAAGAGACATGTAGATTGATTGGAGATGGTGGCATTTGTGTGCGTAGACCGAAGCTGGTACCACAGTAAGGAGCGGGGCGAGCAAATAGAAAGTATGCATGACGGTGGACGCTGAATAGGTATGAGGAGACAAACTTTTGAACTTATCCTACGGAGAGAGATATTTATTTATTCTACGAGCCTGACCTTCCAAAGTTTCAAAATCTAGGCAGTACATCTCCACATGTCTAGACGACACTTCACTAGCTTCTTTCTCGCATCCTTCCCAATTTCGAATAGTAGATCTATCGGTCATGGTGAATTTTCATTGAACGGACCGAATTGAGCGAGAGCATTTGGAACTCGGACTGCGCATAGTAGAAATAGTTGCCTGCAGTAGGTACAGGGGAACCGTGATTAATTCGCTGGTATCAAGACACCGGTGTATGTTTATGAGCCTAGAAAAGTTGAGCAGGCAGAGATGTAAAGGACAGGCCTTGAGGCTTTCAAGCTTGCTGTTGGGAAGGAGCTTTAGGTCATCATTGATGAAGCAGGGCAAGAGGGAATATCTGCATATCTCCCTCTGAAACAGGTAGATCGAGAGGTATCTGTCGTGTTCATGGCATGGTAAAGCAGGGGTTTGAAATCTCTGCATATGTACGGGTCGGGAAAGATGGTAGATAGGATATCAGACAACCACGGATCCAGAGCAATTTGACATTCTTTATCTCTTTATCGTTGTTACACGCGTATTTTCTCACTGTATTACCTACGTAGATCCGTCAGTCCAGCTAGTTTTGGATTTGAAGGCCCGGATTGAGCGAGGGGCTTTGCAACTCCGGAATTCGCGTAGAAATCTGTAATATATCGTAGAACTTTTGGTATTTGGATACAGCTGAGGCTGCAGATCTATCACGTCTGGTTTCGGCCACAAAGTGGCTCCAGGTTGACTGTGGCTACGCGTGATACCAAGATTAAATGATCATCCAATCCTTTAGTCCAGATCAGGCGCTAAATAGGAGCTGATCCCTGTCGTTCCATCGACGCCTGTCACCAAGAGCAGCGGAAGCTCATCTTCCATCTACCGTAGCCTGGCTGACCATGCGGACTCCGGAGTCACAAAATACGTAGCTGAGGGAATTAAACTGACCTTCGTCACAAGCACCTCGCTCAACAAGGGAGTTCAATGTGTATACCCTGATATGCGTTGGCAATAGAAGACCAAGTGTTACCGAGGTTGAGCAACACAAAAAGACAATCCCGGCAGACAAATGCGGTGTATACAATTCATGGAGAACATCAAGTCAAAAAAAATCATCAGATGGACAATCTGGGAATTGAACCCAGGACCTTCCCCAGGCGTACACGTTACACATGGATGTCCGCGTCTGCTAAGGGGAAATCATACCACTAGACCAATTGCCCGATTCGGAACGATGAACCCTGCATATCGATTATGACCATGACCATCTGCAGCAGCTGTGACAACACTACGGATCGATATCAATTTTCCGAATTCTAAAATGAGATCAGCCGAGTCTGTCATTAACCGTCTAGTGATAAATGGAACGCCGTTCTGTGCACTTTGGTAGTATCGCAAAACTTCCAGTTCGAGGTCAATATGGAAGAACTTCCAGCGAAATTCGTCTTCCGTTCTTGCCAAAAATCCAGGAGAAGTGGCCTTACCAGCATGAATAATAAGATTCGTACGAGTTTGGTTATATGCTGCATGCAGACAGCCTGATGGAATGGCGCATGACATAGCCGCCAGGGCGTGACTGCTCGAAGAGCTTTACCTCAGCGCTACAGAGGTAGTACTCAGAAAGGTTCAAATGGCTGAGTGGAAGCACTGACCCACTTTTCCCTCTCGAGACCACATCAGGATTGATGCCAGATTCCCGAGGTCAACTCTAAATCACAAACCCCCAGGACATCATGTCCGCACTCGCGGCATCAGCCAAAGGTGCTTCTTTCCTCATATTGCTTCAAGTCGCGTCCCGGGCGTTTACATTCATTGTCAATCAAATCCTCCTCCGTTTTCTCTCCCCTGAACTCCTTGGGCTTTCCTCGCAGCTCGAACTATACTCCATCACCGTCCTCTATTTCGCGCGGGAAAGCATTCGAGTTGCGGTACAACGTAACCCAGATCAAAGCCAGGTCGTCGTCAATCTAGCATACATTTCTATCTTCTCGGGCATCCCCCTCGCTTATGTGCTTGCGAAACTCTACTTGCGTGCAGAGCTTCCGCCTGTTCCGTACTTCGTCGAGTCGTTGGGAATCTATGGATTCAGCTGCATCATCGAGCTATTCTCAGAGCCTGCATTTGTTGCTGCTCAGCAAAAGCTCCTTTACAGAATTCGCGCTTCGACTGAAGCTCTGGCGACATTGACTCGATGCCTGGCAACTTGCGGAGCAGCTTTTTGGGCTTACAGATCAGGAGCTGATATTGGTGTGCTGCCATTCGCTCTGGGACAGCTAGCATACTCTTTTGTTCTGCTGAAGGCTTACCTTCTGCAAATGTGGAGTGTCACCAGCCAGGGGCATTTTTCATTGCTTCCAAAGCAAGTTGAGGCAGAGTACGGCTTCTAAACCTTGAACAATATCAATTCACTAATCTTTGTGGCAGGAAAGATGAACGGTACATCCTGGGCTTCTTCTCGCAAACGCTCAGCAAGCTTAGTATCAGTCTACTGGTCCAAAATAGCTTCAAGTTCATCCTTACTCAAGGAGACGGCATCCTGATTGCTGCACTGACTTCACTGAGGGATCAAGGAGCCTATGCTCTGGCATCCAATTATGGAGGGCTCGTTGCCCGAATGTTGTTCCAGCCCATAGAAGAGAGCAGTCGCAATATGTTTGCCAAAACATGCGCAGCTGATCCCTCCACTGGTAACGCGTCTCAAACAGGGCTCCGCGAATCCAAGAATCTGCTCCAGAATATTCTCAAGCTCTACAATATCATATCACTTCTTGCACTGTGTATTGGCCCGACTGTGGCCCCTCTTCTGTTGCGAATCGTGGCTGGATCAAAGTGGGCTGACACCGGAGCCGGAGAAGTTTTGTCGACTTATTGCTTCTACATTCCTTTCCTGGCAATCAATGGGCTAACAGAAGCCTTCGTCGCTGCAGTAGCTACCAATCACGAATTGCACACCCAGTCTGTCTTGATGGGCGTCTTCTTCGCCGGATTCGCGGTCGCATCCTATCTCTTCTTACATGTCTGGCAGATGGGAGCCTCGGGACTGGTCTATGCGAATTGTGTGAACATGCTTCTTCGAATCATCTTCAACCTGAATTTCATCAAGTCTTTCTTTAAGCGCAATGGAGACGTAAGTTGTTTTTCCGGAGCCAGAGTTGCGACGCTGATAAATTGGTAGTCATTTCAATTCAGCTCGACATTGCCCAGCGCTCCCAGCATTGCGGCTGGCGTCGCTGTGGTCTCTATCTTCCGATCCCCTATCCACTTATGGGACACCACCTATTTTCTGACCAATCTCGTGTGTACGGGAGTTGTCTCTGTTGTCCTCGGAGCTCTGTTGTGAGTATGAGTCAATGCCTCTAAATCGTTTGCTAATGTACCCCAGGCTTTACTTTGAGCGCGACTACATCCTCTACTGTTATCGTACACTGCGCCCTGTGGGTCCTAAGGGGAAAGGCCCTGCAGAAAAGAAGAGTTAGAGGACGTAAAGAGTATGACAAAGCGCTCAACTCAATACGACATAATTATTATAACGGAAGGCAACAAAAGTCCACTCAATGCTTCAAAGCACTGTCACAGAACACTTCACACCCCTTTCTCAACAGAATCATTCGCAAGTAACTCGTATGCCTATCACTCGCTTCATACCTCGAAATCCACCAATTTCTCCAGCCAAACCCCCTCCACCTTCACATCGATTTCCAGTCCCAGTCCACCCGAGGCCTCGCCTCAACCCGGCCAACCAAGACACCCACACGTACAACCCTTTATCACGCACATCACTCTCCCAAGTAAGTTTCTCACCACACGTATCGCAGCATTCTATTCCTCACACCAATAAGTGACAACCACAAAGCACTCCCCAAGCAGCAAGAAACCCCAAAAAGCCCGCACAGTCCTCAGCAAACGGGTCCGCACCAGACGAATCCGCTTCCAGTGGACCAAACCCACGACATACCGCAAAATGAGATTTTCACGCGCGGGAAAGAGCTTTCGAGGCAGATCCTCTGGGATCCGTATCGGTAGGATTCAGACTCGGGCGGATGCCATGATTCGGGGGTTTACGGAATTGAAGGTTGATGATGCGTGAGAATGCGGGAGGAGAGGGGAAGAGAGCAACCTTATCAGCCGTGTTAAGGTGGTGAAGTGCTATGTACGTTGGAACAAATGGGTCGGGATCACGGATGTGGGAGGTACTTTAGATGACCGGTTGTAAGAGGCAAATCGGAGCTGTAAGGACTTGAGGGCTGTGAGAGGGACGGGTGGTGTTGAAGTGGGTGGATGGGTGGGTTTCGTGACGTGTCGATTCATGTGTGGTTGTACCTTCTTGTACTGGACTTTGGTTGAAGTGCCAAAAGTGTTACCCATGCATCGAGTCACTCATTCGTAATCTTGCAATTAAAACAACCGCTACAACTAGTGGTTGCAGGTACGGCCCTAGCCTCTTTGCAGTACTGCTATGCTCAAAATCCCAACCACGACGCAATGCCCATTGTGCTCTCAGTAGTCTATGATCTTTAAAACAGCCCCAAAATATCATCATTGGTTTGCTTTTGCGGTTGGGCCGGTGCAGCTGGTGCACCGCCCATATTCAATCCACCAAACCCATTCATCAAATCGTCTGCCGCTGCTGATGGATTCGCTGGCTCCGGTCCACTTCCAAATATGCCCATCAGATCGTCCATGTTATTCGTGGGCTGTGCAACGGCAGGCGATGCGACTCTTTGCGGTGTACCTGCGAGACCTTCGAGACCGTTTGAGCCGCCCGGTGGTTGTTTTTGCATCGACGCTGGTGCCGCGCCGTCGAAGTCTATATCTAGCAGATTCTCGACGTTGCTTTGGGGTGTTGCCCCACTGGCGACTGCGGCCGCCGCAGCTGCCAGAGGGTTCTCACGTGCGAGTTCCTTTTGCTCCCTGCAAAGATGTTAATAAGATGTGATCGAGGAATTCTTGCTTGTACATACTCGATCGCAGCTTGTTGCATAGCATCAGCACCAAACCGACCTTGACCGAGGAACGTCTCTGGTGGTTTATGATAGACTGAAGCAAGTGTCGATAGTTCACCGATCAAAGTTTCCAGTAGCGCCGGAGGTAACGACTGGATGGTCGTGGTGATTGGAGGTTTCTCTGACAATACAACATTCTTAGTGATCCGGGGATCACTAGAAAGAAGCCGCCAGTAGACATAAGCCCTGTCTCTTATATCCGGGTTGTCGCTCTGTGATGTCGCTGCCTGTAGCACTTTTTGGACCAGTCCTTGCGACTGGTCAGGTTTTTTTAAGAACAGCTTTACAACCGCCGTGAGAATTTGGAGCTGCGTCTACACGTATATCAGTACAGGATTCAGCCCAATCGAACGCCAACTCCTTACCTGTGTGAACTCCTCGTTAAAGCCCTCTACAAAGCCAGCCAAAATGTCGCCAGCGTTGCTGATTTTCTCGGCATATTCTCCTACGATCCAAATCAGAGATCCACGAGCATTCGGCTCATCTAACTCGTCGATACATTGGCATAAGGTCGGGATTATTCCTTCGTATCCTGGATATTTTCGGAAGATGTCTTTGATTACTACAATGGCTTCCTGAACCACGTAGTTGACCTTCGTGCCAATCAAATCCAACAGCGTGTTAACGCACTTCTCGCTTGCGGTTTCGATTTTGATGGCAACTTGACCAATCGCCCTGACTGCTCGCCGGACAAAGTCCATATCCACTTCCATGGCGTATTCTTTGAGTTCAGCAAGCAGCTGATCGACGTTCTTCTCATTCGCGATGCGAACCATGATCTCCAGTTTCTGTAATTTGAGATACGGCGGATCGTTGTATTTGCAGAAGAAGACTCTCATCTCTTTACTCAAAATGTCGGGAGTTTTTTGTAATAGTAAATCGATATTTCGCAGAGCGACGTATTGGACTTCAGGCTGCGATGAGACCAGTGTGACTACGCAATAGTTAGTCAAGGTCCAGCAGCACCGCGTGTATCACGGACCTAAAGGTGGGGCCATTTTCCGAAGGTACGATTTGCTCAGCTCTGGGCCGATGGCTCGCATGTGTAAAAACACAGCCTTGACAGCTGCAAGTACAACAGCAGGATTTGCATGTTGGAATTGAGGCGCTACTCTCTCGCAAATATGCTCTGCCTCCTTGACATCATTTGCCTTGTAATCAGCCAAACTGGCTAGGATTGTGATTCGACCCCATTCCGTGCATTCGTTCAAGGCCAACAT